GGCGCCAGTGACGTCTCCATTTGGCCCTGTCGCATGCTATTGTAGCCCAATGGCGTCTGTTCGTTCTAGGAACACGAAGAGCCTCAAACTGATCGTTCATGATCTTGATGAAGAAGTCTGACCATCTGGTAGGTGGGCGGCCACGCGGTCTTTTGATGTCCCATGGAATCCAGTCAGTAATGGCTGTAGTCCAACGGTCGTCTCTAAATCTCATTAGGTGACCAGTCCATCTGATTTTTGATGCCTTGGCAAATGAGACAGCGTCCATGATTCTTGATCATCGACGGAGGTCAGAACTCTGGATTCTTTCTCTCATTTGAGTAAAACGTGATATTCCAAGCATAGCTCTTTCAATTCCTCTAGCATTCTCATCCTGTTTACATAGGGCCCAGGTCTCTGACCCTAACCCTAACCCTAACCCTAACCCAATGGGCCCAATGTTCTCCCTTCCGAAATCCGACATGCCATTTCATTGGTAAAGAGACGAACAGCACCCAGCCCAGACAAGGTCAGACCTGAACACCTGAAGAACCTGCCATCAGTACTCATTAATACGCTGGCTCGGCTCTTCACACGCTACCCGTCTGAATGCAAGGTTCCGTCCCAATGGAAAACCAGCAGAACTGTACTACTGTACAAGAAGGGAGACATCCATGACATTGGCAACTATTGCCCAATCTGCCTATTGTCTGTCATCTACAAGTTGTTCACTCGAGTCATCCTGAATAAGATTGGCAGAACACTAGATGAAGGACAACCATGCGAGCAAGCCGGGTTCCGCAAAGGATTCAGCATCATCGACCATATCCACACGATAACCAAGATCATTGAGGTTTCTCGGGAGTTCAAGATGCTGCTCTGTCTAACATTCATTGATTTAAAGAAGGCCTTTGATTCTGTTGAGACGGAAGCGGTCATTGAAGCCCTAGCCAATCAGGGCATTCAAACTCAATACATCAGGATCCTCCGTGAACTGTATTACGGATTCACTACCAGGATCTCACCATTCTACAAGAAGTAATCATTGATGTCAAGTGAGGGGTTTGGCAGGGTGATACCATTTCACCAAACTCTTCAGTGCCACCCTCGAGAACATCATGCGACGACTGGAATGGGAAGAAATGGGAGTGAAGATAGATGGTCGGCAACTACACCACCTCTGCTTTGCTGATGACATTGTTCTAATAACACCAAACATTAGCCAAGCAGCACAAATGCTGGCCGACTTCAAACGTGAGTGTGGAAAGGTCGGACTACAGCTGAATCTTACGAAGACAATATTTATGAGAAACAGCCTTGTTCCTGACGCTGCATTTGCTCTCAATGGAATGACCATCTCCGAATGCAACAGTTACGTGTACCTAGGTCGAGAAGTCAACATGATGAATGACCTGGCACCTGAGTTGCGCAGGAGGAAGAGAGTGGCTTGGAACGCCTTCAAGAGCATTGAAGAAATAGCTAAGAGGATGAAGAACCTTCGGCTCCGGGCACATCTCTTTGATTCCACTGTTCTTCCTGCATTAACTTACGTCTCAGAGACCTGGGCTCTATGCAAACAGTTTAATTTTTAAGTAATATTTTTAACAGAAGCAGAGCTTGGGTCTGATCACAAAAATATACTAGACCCATCCAAATTAAAGAACATACCCCCTCCCCCAAAAAAAGTTGTTGATATACACTTCTCAAAATATTCAGGCATACCAGTTAAGGAAGAATTGAGGAATGATGATAAATGTAGCCACTCATTTGACAACATTAATCAAACAGTGTGGTGAGCAAAGGATGAAAGAAACAAAGAGGGAATGTTTGAGAATCGATGCAAATGAACACCCAGGAAGGAGGACAGGGAAAGAGCTCAGGCTCAAGAGCATACGCTTGGCATGTGTGAGGCCCTGAGTTCGATCCTCAGTCCAGCCCCCCAGCCCAGAGCCCCTAGTAATTTTTTTAAAAGAGGAACAGAGAGTGACAGGGCTGCTATTCCAGGTGGGAAGGGCACGGAAGAGCTCTGATGAGGGATGTTTGAGCAAAGGAAAGGGGGTGGGAGGGCTGGGGTGTGGCTCAGTGGTGCTCAGGACTTGCATGCATAAGATCTGGATTCTTTCTGGAACTGCAGCAGAAAGCGGGAGAGCACCTCGCAAATCTTTAGGAAATGCTTCTAATCAAAGCAACAAGACCCCTGAGACTAAAAAAAAAAAGTATAGATTATTTAAGGTGGATAGGGGGGTGACCCACACCCCGTGGTGCTCATGGCTTTCTCTTGGCTCTGCAATCACTCTTGGTGATGTTTGGGTAGTCATAATACAGTGCCAAGGGATTAAACCACACCTGCCGCATGCAAGTCAAGCACCTTACGCCTGGTCCCACTTCTGTTGCCCAGAAAAGGTTAGGTTTGTTTGTTGTTTGGTGGTGGTGGTGGTGGTGTTGGTTTGTTTTTGGTTTGGAAGCCCACACACAGTAGTTCTAAGGGGTAACCCCTGGCTCTTCACTCCGGAATCACTCCTGGAGGGCTCACGAGACCATACACGGTGCCCAGGATTGAACGTGGGTTGGCTCCATACAAAGCAGGTTGGCCCCTACCTGCTGTACAATCACTATGGCCCCAGGAAAGTTTTCTTAATCTCAGGAAAGAGTGAAAAGTGCAGAGAGTCCCGGCGGAAGAATTGCTGAGTGAGGAAAGCCAGCAGCCAGGCTGCTCGGGCCCCGGGCTGGGGTAAGGATTCTGGGTGTCACACTCTGCGCTCAGTGGGATGGAGCCCCCGGGAAGGCTTGCGAGTGGAGGCAACGTCATTCTGGTTAGGGCTTGATGTATTCAACTCATTGCTCCTGCCCAGACTCGCTGATGGTCAGTGTAGATCAAGGCTGGAAGGTGCTCCCACTGCTCAGGGGAGAGGTGACAAGGGCCAGAGGAGAGATGGGCTCGGAAGGCAGGAAGAGCGAGTGGGTCCAAAATAGAGACAGAGGGGGCTGGAGCGATAGCACAGTGGATAGGGCGTTTGCCTTGCACGCGACCAACCCAGGTTCGATTCCCAGTATCCCATAGCGTCCCCTGAGCACCGCCAGGAGTAATTCCTGAGTGTGGAGCCAGGAGTAACCCCTGAGCATCGCCGGGTGTGATGCAAAAAGCAAAATAAATAAATAAATAAATAAAAATAAATGTAGCCCCTTCCTCCACTGCCCCCAGAGCAAAGGAATCTCTTTGCTGTCTTTTTATTTTATTTAATTATTTTTTGGTAGGGCCACACCTGGAAATACCCAGGGGTCACTCCTGGTGGTGTTCAGGACCCTATGAAATGTGGGGGATCGAATCCAGGTCAGCCGCATGGAAGGAAAAGACCCTACGTGCTGTATACTATTGCTCTAATCCCTTCAGTGTCATCTTATATAATTAAATTTCCCCCCTTCTCTCCACCAATCCAACAGCAAGAATAGGAATGATTTAAGTGAATTGGTCTGGTTTTAAGACCAAACAACAGTAAAAATACAGCACTTCAGGGGCTAGAGTAATAGCATAGCGGGGAGGGCATTTGCCTTGCACGCGGCCCACCTGGGTTTGATTCCCAGCATCCCATATGGTCCCCTGAGCACCGCCAGGAGTAATTCCTGAGTGCAGAGCCAGAAGTAACCCCTGTGCATTGCCAAGTGTGACCCAAAAATGCAAAAAAAATAAGGACAGAAAGCCTCAAGGACAGCCAGGACTATGTGACGCTCCACCCTCTCCTCTAGGGGTTGGCCTGATTTGCTGTTTGTGTCCTCACACAGCCTGTCCAGGTCAGTAAGAACACGCTGATAGTGCGATGCCAGGCCTGCATTGGTTAAGGGATGCCTGCCCAAAGGTCACTGGCAAAACAGCCACGTCAATGACTTTGCTGAACAAGGAGGCCACAAAGTCAGAGGCCAACAGCCAGGTTGCAAAAATAAAAAGGTAAAATAAAACAAACCCACCCGTAAGGGCTCTCACTTCCCCGATGGTCCGGTCAAGACTAAGCATACTTTGGAAGCTGGCCTCACATGCTGGGGGGAAAGGCAGCTGAGACAGAGAAGGGACCACCAAGTAAACGATGCTCGGAGGGCTTGCTCGGGATGGGAGATGTGTGCTGAAAATAAACTACAGACCGATCCAGATGGCCATTTAATACCTGTATTGTAAACCACACACCCAAAAAGAGAGAGTAAAAGGGAATGCCCTGCCACAGAGGGGGGATGGGGTGAGGGTGGTGGGAGGGATACTGGGAACACTGGTGGTGGGAAATGGGCACTGGTGGAGGGATGGGTGCTTGATCATTGTATGGCTGAAACGTAAGCATGAAAGTTTGTAAGTCTGTAACTATACCTCATGGTGATTCATTAATAAAATACGAAATAACATAAAATAACAAAATAGGAGACTAACACCCAAGAATGGCCGAGATTAGTACCAGGAATTTTGCTCCATGGCTTGGAGGCCAGCCACACATGCTAGGGGAAAAGGGAGCTCAGACAGAGAAGAGAGCACCAAATAAAGGGTGTTGGGAGGATCCTCCCAGGATGGGAGAAGCATGCTAAAAGTAGACTACAGACCGAACATGATTGTCACCCATTGCCTCTTTTGCAAACCACAACACGCAATAAGAGAGAGAGAACAGAGGGGAATGCCGTGCCACAGAGACAGGGTGGGATGGGGGGATGGGGGGTGGGAGGAATACTGGGATCCGTGGTGGTAGAAAATGGGCACTGGTGGAGAGATGGGTATTTGATCATTGTATAATTGAAACCCAAGCACAAAAAATGTGTAAGTCTACAACTGTACCTCATGATGTCTCACTAATAAAAAATTTAAAAAAAAAATAAAAAGACTAAGCAAATTGCTGCAACAGAAAACAACCAATCTTGTGTGTGTGTGTGTGTGTGTGTGTGTGTGTGTGTGTGTGCCATAACAAAGCATAACAAAGAACTTGACTTGTTCCAGAACCAACAGAGGGTGAGGGTGAGGGGGGTCAAAGAAGGCCAAACACCTTTAGAAATATAGAATTTATTTAGTCACTGTAAAACAGTTTCACATTCTGTACATGGTTACCAGGAGATACAACGGTCCTAGCGTTCACGACGGCATCCCCATTGCTAGCAGACAGCACTTCTGCCGCGTGAGTCGGAAACATTTCCCCCCCTCGGAAAGAAATTAAGGCTCAGTTTCCAAAGGAATCTTCTGCCACTAATTCCTCTGGGTATGGAACTGGGAACATTTCCGAGTCAGCCACAAAGCGGTGGAGGGCGAGAGACTGGCCTTGCCCCGTCACCTGGCCATGCTCCCCACCCCACCCCCACCCCCAAGAGGCTCAGTGGGATTTGCTGTTGCTGTTGTAAACAAAAAGGCTCTTCCAGTGCGGGTGCGAGAGCCAGCGACAAACGCAGACAAGGCCGCGGAGAGAGACCTCTAGCAAACAGACAAGGAAAACTAAAGGCTTGAATCTGGCTGAAATGTGTTTATTAGACGTTACCTACATGTAAACGCACACGCTGGGACGTGGGCTGGGCTTTTCTTTGGTAACGCTTGCCCAAGGTGATTTCCCTGCTACCTCGCTTTGGGTGGGGGGCCTGGGGGGGGGGGGGACCTAGACAGACGCTTCCACTTTCAGATCAGGTGGTCGCAAAGCTGGGTGTCCTTCGAGGCACCCGCCCTCATTTTTCTTCCACCTGTGCAAACAGAGCCATTGGTGGGCACCTGGAACTAGAGGTCATCACACTGTCCGAGGGGGTGAAAGTAGTTTGTGTGTGTTTGGGGGGGGAGGGGAGGGTCACTGGGAGGGAAGTAAGGAAGCAGGAAATGTTATGGAGAGGAGAGGCCGGGGTCATTGCTTTTCAGAATCGCCGCCAGCTCACTGACTTCCTAACAGGACGGGTTCCCGTCAGGTTCTAGAAGCACTTCCTCCTGTGCCAATACTCCATTCCATCAAGCACAGCGCAGCAGGAAGAGTATCTGTTTTAAACTCAGTACACAACCTGGCAATTCCTGGGGTGAGGGCAGCAGAGACCCCCAAAAGCCCCGAGGGCACCTGTAGGTCCACCTCTGCATGATGAAGAGGTCAAGGAAGCATCCTGTAGACAAGATCAACAATAGCAATAATAATAATAATAAAATGGCGAAACAAAGTAAGGCTGCTCCCCCTTCACACACACACACACACACACACACACACACACACACACACACACGAGAAAAGCAGCACGTTCCAGGCCCAGGCTAAGAGCGAGTCATGGGAGCTGGGGTGTGCACAGGGCGGCCTTCAGTCTGATTCTGCTTTCGGGGAGGCGTCGCCCACGATCATCTTGCTGTAATTCTTCTGCTGCTCTTCCTTGAAAGTGTCCTTCACCTTTGCTCTCTTTAAGCCTCCATCCCTGGGAAGAGAAAGGCAAATTCGTAAGAGATGCACCCAATCAGGATCGCAAAGGGGTTCACTGTCACTGTCCTCCCGTTGTTCATCGATTTGCTCGAGCGGGCCCAGTAACATTGTGAGACTTGTTACTGTGTCTGGCATATCGAATACGTCCCGGGGAGCTTGCCAGGCTCTGCCGTGCGGGCGAGATACTCTCGGTAGCTGGCCAGCCTCTCCGAGAGGGGCGGAAGAATCGAACTCGGGTTGGCCATGTTGGCCGCTTGCAAGACAAATGCCCTACCCGCTGTACTATCGTTCCAGCCTTGCAAAGGGGTTACTTAATAAAGCTGCCAGCGGCCCTGGCACTTAACTGAAAGGTCAGCACAGGAGCAAAGAACATTGATTTGGCAGGAGGAGTGAGCCTGGTTTCCAGCATTCTGTGTCTGGGACTTTGAGAGAGGCCCAAGCTCTCTCGTTTTGGGGTAACAGTAAGTCCACTGCTTTCGTGACATAAAATTTTGTTACTAATAAATGAAACTGAGGCCGGAGTGATAGTAGAGTTGGGAGGGTGTTTGCCTTGCACGCAGCTGACCTGAATTGGATCCCTGGCATCCCATATGGTCCCCAGAGCACCGTCAGGAGTAATTCCTGAGTGCAGAGCCAGGAGGAACCCTTGAGCATTGCCGAGTATGACCCAAAAAGCTACACAAAACAAAACAAAAACAAAAACAAAAAACTAATAAATGAGGGGCTGGAGCCATAGCACAGCAGGTATGGCCTTTGCCTTGCATGCAGCTGACCTGGGTTCAATTCCCAGCATCCCATATGGTCCCTGGGCACCATCAGGAGGAATTCCTGAGTGCAGACCCAGGAGGAAGCCCTGTGCATTGCTGGGTGTGACCCAAAAAGAAAAAAAAAAGCCTAATAAATTAAACTGGGTCCAGAAGGGAAAGCTTAGTGAGTAACATCAGAAAGAAGAAGTCTTGAGAGTCTCAGTCAGATATGGCATGGAAAGCACATAGACCCACAGAGCAAGAACGAAATCAGGGCTGGAGCAACAGTATAGCAGGTAGGTCATTCGTCCTGCACACATCCTGTGCAGTCCTCAGAGCACCACTAGGAGTGATTCCTGAGCACAGAGTCAGGAGTAACCCGAGTACTGCTGGGTGTGTCCCCCAAACCCAAAATAAATAAACAAGCAAACAAAATTAAACGCTGAGATTTCTGGGAACAGACTAATGCAACCAGGGGGAAGAAGGTGGGAGGAGGCTGGGAAGTGGGAGGCTGGTAGGAGATGACCCGGGTCTGCGCGCAAGGAGTTGGGAGCTCCTACTGATGAACATCTAAGGCTGTCCTCCTGAAAGTTAAGCAATGCTGTCAGTCAAATGCTGGCAGCCAATATTACAGCGGCATAAATCAATGCTATAAGCCAATGTTATGTCAATAAATATAAAGACAAATAATGCAAGAAGTAAGGCCTTGACTCAGCATTATTTATTTATTCAGAAGTAAGGACTGCTGTAATCAACATTTGAACGCCGTATTTTAAAGAAGGAGCAAGAGAGATAATACTCCAGGTCGGGCTCTTGCCTGGCATGGGGTCAGCTCAGGTTTGAGCCCCAGCACCCCATCTGGTCCCTTAAGCCCCTCCATGAGCGATCCCTGAGTTCAGAGCCAGGGGAGAGCCCTGAGCACTGTCAAGTGTGGCTCAAAAATCAAAAATTGAAGACTGGTGATCACAGATCACCCGACTAGATAAAAGTAAATAAAATTTTTTTTATATTTACTTATCTGTTCCTTCTAGGAAAGAAAAATGTCAAGAAAATGTCTAGAAAATTTTTCTAGAAAAGAAAAATCTGGGTTTTTGTTGTTCATGTTGTTTTACTTTGTTTGCATCAAATTGACCTAGGTCATCCTAGAAAACAAGAAGCACAGCTTTAACTATGCATCCTAAAAGTGGTGAGGGCAAGGTAAGTGAGTGGGTCTGTTCTTTAAGATATCTGGATTCGGGGTTGAAGTGACAGCACAGCGGGTAGGGGGTTTGCCTTGCATGCGGCCGACCCGGGTTCGATTCCGAGCATCCCATATGGTCCCCTGAGCACCGCCAGGAGTAATTCCTGAGTGAAGAGCCAGGAGTAACCCCTGTGCATCACCGGGTGTGACCCAAAAAGAAAAAAAAAAGAGAGGAAAAAAAAAGATATCTGGATTCATTCGTCATTATTCAAGCATAACCTCAACGAGTTCCATTTCCTTTGAAAGCACTGCATTCTCTGAGGACCTATAACCGTCCACATTGCCGAACTGGCTCAGAATGAAACAGCAGAACTTGAAGTCGCCCGGCTGTGCTGACGTAAGCAGCATTCCTGAACGGTGAATCTCTGGATGAGAATCTCTGGACTCGTGAATCTCCAGATTGTCTCCAGGGCAATGAAAACAGGTCTGCCCGGGTTCTGAGGAAGCTGTTCCTTCTCTGGACAGTCCGGCGGGGTGGGGGGGGGGGGGGTCGGGGGGGGCGGGGAGGGAGAGGGGCAAAAAGCCCCAGAAAACTGGAAGGCTGGAAGCAGCCTCAAATCCCAGGGCTGCAATTGTTTCCTAATCCGGGGCCTTAGTAGTGTTCACTGCCCGGGAGCTTGGAGAGAACTTGCTTACTGCAGGTTGGCTCTTTAATTTTAACTGCACTGAGCACAGATGTTTACCGGGCGACGCTGCTGAACTGACCCTAGATCAGCTGGTGAACCCATTGCCACGCAGACAGCACTTGTGGCCTCCGGAGTTCTGGTTTCTGGAGTCCAGTCCAAGGTGCGGCCCCGCAGCAAGTTCTTAAAAACAGACTGCGGTGTGCAAATCTCCCAGTGCCCACGGGACGGGGAGGGGCTGTTGTGAAACAAGGCTGTAAACTGTCATATGCGCTCTCTTTATCTTTACCTCCCTCTTTCTTTCTTCTTTGCGTTGGTGGGGGAGCAACACCCAGCTACGCTCAGGGACTGCTCCTAGCTTTGTCTCCAGGGATGACAGAATTGCCAGGGGACCATGCAGTGCCAGGGAGTGACCCAGCAGCTGGCACGTGCCGTCACCCCCGTGCCTGGTCTCTGTCCCTGGCCTCTTGGCCAAAGGAGCTACATTCTGAACACCGAGACCTGAGGAGCAGGGAGGGAGACAGGAAGACAGTCGCCCCACCTGGCTGAGGTCCAGAGCGACACTTCCAACACTGGCCCCTGCTCAGTCACCGGATTCCCATCCAGGTCTGCAGCCCAGGCCCCCGAGCACAGCGTTCCTCAGGGGCCATATGGTCTCCGGGAGACCGCCAGGATATTCCAGAGGGGGCACAAATGAAAATCAGGGAAATGAGCTGCCAACTGGGGGCGGCACACAGGGAGGAACACAACTGGAAGGGGCCGGAGCCCAAGGAATCTGCTCACCGAGCCCCGGGGACTGAGGAGACCTCAAGTCTGTTTTCCCCAATTCCCTTTGCCGAGAGCAGGTGGAGGAGGTGGGCGGTAGCCATGTTAAAAAGCCAGTTTAGGGGCCGTGATCCAGAGACTCAGAAATAAAGCTCCCGGAAGAGGATAACATAGAACATCCAGAGCCCGCGCCAGGCTGTCTTTACTGGGAGCAACGTGTGTGTGTGTGTGGGGGGGGGAGTGGGGGGACAGTTGGGGGGGCAGCAAGGTCCCTCCCAAGCCCAGCAGAGCCCCGGCAGTTGGAAACTTCCAGAATCCAACTGCCGCCATTCTCATGGCTGCCCTCCACTCGCCCAGAAACCTCCAGGGACGCAAGTTCTGTGACTGAAATCTCCAGGTTCACATGGAGTCAGGACTGGGTGGTCTCCCCCCATCTCCCTGTGCTTCCGGGAACCTGGCAGTCACACCCACAAACTGCCTCTGGCACCATCTAAACCCATCAATGGCCATGATTCAGAGACTCACAAATAAATCTCGGAAAAGAGCAACACACTGCAGAGATGCCACCAGACCCCAAAGTCACCATCCAGTTAAAAATCTAACTCCAGGGCTGGAGCGATAGCAGGGCAGGTAGGACATTTGCCTTGCTTGCGATGGACCCGGGTTCAATCCCTGGCATCCCATATGGTCCCCTGAGCACTGCCAGGAGAAATTCCTGAGTGCAAAGCCAGGAGTAATCCATGTGCATCACCGGATATGACCCAAAAAGAGCCAAAAAAAAAAATTAACTCCAGCTCTAGCACCCTATTAAAAATTTTAGAATTCCTAAAGTGCATGACCACTTTCGTGGCCAGTTTTGTGACGTTTCGCACTTTATACCAAGAGTAGCACACCACATTTGATGGGGTATAAAGTAGAAGGCAACCGATCTTGATTAAGGTAGATAGAAAGATAGATAGATAGATAGATAGAAAGAAAGAAAGAAAGAAAGAAAGAAAGAAAGAAAGAAAGAAAGAAAATTAGCACACAGGCTCACCCTGTAAAATATGTTAGTGATCTCTTATACAAGGACTTATTGACTCCAAGGTGAGATACAACAATTTTCATGCATTTTCCCCTAAGGAAAACTTTTTGGATCAATTTTAGCAGATTACTCTTAACCAGCAATACAAAATTGATTATTTAGCATCTGCTTTTGAGGCAGGCTTGAGTAGTGGTGAGAAAATTCAAAATAATGGTGGTGGGAAGTAGTGGGATTGGTGTTGAAATACTGAATGTAATAAATTATTGTGAACAACTGTCACGATCACGATCACAACCATCCTGTTGTTCGTCGATTGCCTCGAGCAAGCCCCAGTAACGTCTCCTTTGTCCTAGCCCTGAGATTTTTTTTTTTTAAAGTGCCATATTCAAGGCTCTTTCAGGGTTAGGAGAATGAGACCCATCATTGTTACTGGTATTTGGCATATTGGGTATACCACGGGGAGTTTGCCAGACTCTGCCGTTTGGGCAGGTTACATTCGGTAGCCTGCCAGTTTGTCCAAAGTAGGAATGAGATGATAAGATGTCACGCTTTATTATTATTATTATTATTATTATTATTAATTTTTTAATTTTCAACTGTATGAAAATAAAATTTAAAAAAATACTTGGGGCAGGGACTACAACTCAGCAGTCAAGTGTAGGCCTGTCAGTGAGACCTGCACCACAGGAAAAATAAATAAGTAAATAATTAAATAGAATTACATATGACTTGACAAAGGAAATTAGAAATTAAGACAGTTGAGTTTTGTGAGGAGAATTTTTGTTGTTTGTTTTGTTGGCTTTAGGGTCAACAAAACTAAAGAAATTTTTCTCTTAATTTAAAAAAAATGATGGTACTTAGAAAAAATTATCCTACCATGGAAGTTCAGTCAATCCGCCTTGAACAGCAATTGCAGACTTGACTCTGTTGGCAAACTGAACTGCATCTTCACCTTCCTGGAAAAAAAAACAATTGACAAGAATATCCTGAGCAGAGAGTTTTCGAAATATCGCAGTATCATTTGGATTTGGTATAAATATAAGATTCGCGTTTCAGCTCAAATATGTTGCATTTTCAGTCAGTCTTAACAAATAACAAATAATTGTTTTTATCCAAAAAAAATGTAGTGTTAGGGTCAGAGTGAAGGTACCCACAGTGAGTAAGGCACTTGCCTTGCACACTACAGATCCAGGTTCTATCCCCAGCACCCATAGGGTCCCCTAAGACTTGCACGAGTCTCTGGGCACAGAGACAGGAGTAAGCTCTGAGTACTGTTCGGTGAGGCCCCAAAACAACAACAAACAGAAAAGAAAACACAGTGCTATATTATTTAATAATATGTGTTTTTTCGGCCATACCAGTGCCTGGGGATCACTCCCAGTCCTGTGTTCAGGGATCACTCCTGGTAGAGCCTGCTGGACTCTATGCTGTGCTATGTTCTGTAGCTTACCTCTCGGGTCATCGAGGACTGAACAGGGGTTGACCACAGGCAAAGCAAGAACCTTGATCTCTGGACAATCTCTCTGGCCCTGACTTAACTTTTCATCAGGCACACACTCTGATACTACTCTTTCTAAATATTATCCAAGAGATAAGAATCCCATCATGTTCCAGAAGTAATGAAAAACAACCTTTAATATCTAAAGTGATCTGATTTAAAGAGAGTGGCTCACTCAAACGCCTTCATCACTTAAAAATGACTTTTGTTGAGAAAGCAATAAAAGAAGTTGGGTTTCCCCTGATACAAAGAAGGGGGACCTAGTGACTCTGGGAAGAGAATGAATGCCTTGACCGCCTGAGACCAGAGCACCCAAGGGCAATGCTCTCTGAGGCTTACCTCTCGGGTCATCGGGGGCATGTACCACACGTCACAGACGATGGCCCAGCTGGTCATCATTCGGAGCAGGTAGCTGACCATGTTGTACTTGCTGCTGTTCCAAAACGCATCCCCAAACTGAGGATTATACTGAGGAAGGAGAAAGGGAAACCCATTCAGGTCATCTGAGCTGAGAGGCCCCGGGAAGTGACGTGGCTCTTCTGGACACACAGAGTTGGTGAAGTCCACCCAGCCAGTCACTGCCCCTGCTTCAGTGACTCTGCAATGTCAGCCTCGCCACGTAACCGGAAGTGGGGTGACAACCCGCACAGGGCCTGCTTTGCTTTCCCCTTTTCCTCTGTGTCCTCTAGGCTCAGTCCCCGGGTACACAACCATGCCCAGAGACGCAGAGAGGGGAGGGGGCCACATGGCCGAACATGAGAGGCGAAAAGTTCTCCTTAAAAATTCGTCAGTGCTATAAACCGAACATGATTTCCACTCAATGCCTTTTTTGCAAACCACAGCACCCAAAAGCAGAGAAAGAACAAAAGGGAATGCCCTGCCACAGAGGCAGGGTGGAATGGGGGGATTGGGGGGGGAGGGATACTGGGATCAGTGGTGGTGGGAAATGGGCACTGGTGGAGGGCTGGGTACTCGAACATTGTATAATTGAAACCCAAGCACAAAAATTTGTAAGTCTACAACTGTACCTCATGGTGTTTCACTGATAAATAAATAAGTAAATAAATAAATAAATGGGGGAAAAAAAAGAAAATTTGTCAGTGGAAGTTGTGTCCAAATAAAATTTACTTGGCCAAAGTGAGAGTATAATAGGTAGAGAATTTGCATTGCATGTAACTGACCCAGGTTCCAATCCAGGCATCCAATTTGGTCCCCCAAGCACCACCAGGGATAATTCCTGAGTGCAGAGCCAGGAGTAAGCCTTGAGCACCACCAGGTATAAGCCAAACCCCCCCTAAAAAAAATTACATATATGTGTGTGTGAGTGTGTGTATGTGTGTGTGTGTGATGTGTATGTATGTGTGTATTTACTACGCCTACTTTGGGCTGGAGCGATAGCACAGTGGTAGGGTGTTTGCCTTGCACACAGTCAACATGGCCGACCCAAGTTCGATTCCTCCGCCCCTCTCAGAGAGTCCAGCAAGCTACCGAGAGTATCTCGCCCGCACGGCAGAGCCTGGCAAGCTCCCCGTGATGTGTTCGATATGCCAGACACAGTAACAACAAGTCTCATAATGGAGATGTTACTGGGCCCACTCGAGCAAATCGATGAATAATGGGGGGATAGTGACAGTGACAGACCTTGGGTGTGGGGCAGGGGAGAAGTGTCACTGTACCTTGATCGCCACTGGGTGAATGGTCCCCCCGATCTCAAAGCTTCCCTTCTTGAACATCATAACCGAAGTGTTGTTGATGCAGGTTCCTGCAGAGAAAGGGGCACGTGCCTGAGCGTCTCCAGGGTCGGCCCATTTTAATATCCGAGAGAAATCCTTTTGATGTTAATGATTTAAAACACTCACATCCTATCAGACGGACAGACATTTTTGCTACTGTTTCACAAACCAATTCCTGCCCACCCACGGAGTGAGATGGATTTTGTTTGCTTGTCTGTTTGTCTGGGGCTACAAGTCGAAGCGCTGAGGGCTTTCTCCTGACTCAGCGGCTTCAAGGTTTCAACTCGGAACACGCCTTTGCCCATCCTTCTGTCTTCCTGACAACCTCTCTCAGACACGGCTCACCAGGTGGGACCGACCACTGCTGTGGAGGTGGGATCACCTGCCTCATGCTCATGGGGCCATCTGCTTCCTTCACACCATCACCCTCACGGCCTGTGGTCTAGCACCCACCCCCGCTGACTGAGCCCTGCCACATGGAAACCCCTCCTGACACCGTGTCAGCCAGCCTGTCCACCACGAAGAGACCCCAACTGGGTGTTTTTATAGCACGCACTTTATTTATTACTATAATACTATAATACAGCACAGAGAGTTGCTGTTTCATGTTTACATATTTATATATGCTATTTAACATTACACTTATCATATACTCATGCTATATCAAACTATAATTCTACCATTTTCATTTTAATGATTTAATATGTTCGTCTGTTGGTCTAATGTATACCTATTAATAATTCTTAGTTATTAATAAATAATACTATTATTAATGGTAAATATATTATTTTTATATTCTAGAAATGCAACTTCTTTACACAAGACCTTTCAAAAGCTGTGGGCAATAAATTCATTGCCCAGAAATGAGCCTTAAAACTTAAGAGGCATCATGCTCTCCTCCAAATCTCAGAAAAAAAGCAGCCAGAGAGTGAATATATTCAGAGAAGGGGGCGTCTTTCCTACACAGAGACCTGGAGTGCCAACTCTGCACCTGGCAGGTGGAATGCACACTCTGTTGGCAGGAGGCCTGGGTTCAACCTCCAGCAGAGCTCAACAGCCTGAGTACTGCGGGGAGTAGTCAGAAACCAAACAACCCAAAGAAGAATGCTCATTCTAGAACAATCCAACTCCTCGCACGCTGCTGCTGCCCACCGTTTGGGATCGACCAGTGTGTGGCAGGTAGGAGCCCGTCTCACCTTCAGGAAAGATCAAGATGGGTAGTTTCTTCTTATCAGCAATGTGTTCTTGTAGTCTGGGGAGAAAAATAAAAGATCAAAATTCTATACTCAAAGAGAGAAAGAGAGGGCAAAACAATTACCCTCTTTCGCCTTTTATACCTTCTGCTATATAGCACGGGATAAAATTTTAAAATGCTAAAATATAAAACTCTACGGCAAAAAAAAAAAAAGGAGGAAAAAAAGGGGAAAAGGGGGGAGAAAAAAATCCTCAAATTGGTCCCTTTCTTAAAAGGCGCCGACACTGGCCTTGGTTCCACTCCTCCTTGGTTCCACTCGACCCCCAATGGATACTGGATAATGCTGCCACTTACCTCTTGGTGACCAGGTGTCGGTCCTTCATTTCAGAGCGTTCGAACCACACATGGGGACAAGCCTTGACCATCGCCCTCTGAATGATTCCCATCAGTCCACCGTGCACTTGACCCACCTACAGGGTCCAGGAGATAAAGAGAAGAGTGTGAGGCTCAGCTGGCCACAGACGGCTTTTGTTTGGTCCTGCTCTGTTTTCCAGTACGTGCAGGTTCCTATTCTCCACTAGGAAAAAACAACCAACCAACCAACCAACAACAACAACAACAACAAAAAAAAAAAGAGTGACTCTCTACTCACTGGAGTTCTTGAAATTCTATTCAAAGGCCACGGACAGCCAAATGTCACCAAAAGTGTGGCCAAGTCACTTCACTAGCCGACCTCCACTGTTAGAAAGCAGACATTCTCCGGTTTAGTCAAGATCAGAGAAGTGCCAATGAAAATGACAACGAAACGCCCCCTTCTCACTGATGAAACTGGCACAGATTTGAAAGGCTGACAACATGCTCTGAGTGAAGGCAATGCAAAAGAGGACAACCTCTTCCCTCCTCCCCCCACACCCCCCCCCCCCCACACACACACACCACTTACTTGCTTGGAATAGGAGCAATCATAACACTTCTAGAAGGAAATTTGGCAACACCTATCAAAACTACATCAATTACATACTCTTTCATCCTTCAATTCAAAACCCTATTTTCTAGTAATTTACCCTGAAGATACACCTTCCAAAATATGAAAATACATGAGCACAGGGTTTTTCTTGTAGCACCATTCATGAGTGAAATATAGTAAAAACTCCAAACATAAAGAGAGTTAGACAGAACCATGGCACAGGGTCCCCAGCACAGGGCCGGGAGGAACCCCTTTGAGAAGGCTGGGGGTTGTCCAAAGACCAAAACAGAATAAACCTGAACACTACAATGACAGTATTTGATCATATATCCTGCCCATTTTAGTAAGAACAGCAGGAACTTCCAACTATACTGAATTCTCCCACAACTCTGCTTTCAGAACAAAGAACAGTTGCCTTTTTGAACTCAAGGAGAACTCTGTAGCTGGGAAAAGAACAATGGTAATTTCCGAGACTGATCAGGAGTAGTTTCACACACACACACACACACACACACACACACACATATAACACATATATATATATTATATCTGTACATATATATAGCCATTATATATGGTCAGTATATATAATATATATAAATGGTCACGGTCACGGTTGTTCATTGATTTGCTCGAGCGGGCCCAGTAACGTCTCCATTGTGACGATTGTTACTGTGTTTGGCATACTGAATACATCAGGGGTAGCTTGCCAGGCTTTGCTGTGTGGGTGAAATACTCTCGGTAGCTTGCCAGGCTCTCCGAGAGGGGTGGAGGAATTGAACCCGGCTCAGCCAGGCCAGCTGCGCGCAAGGCAAATGCCCTACCGCTGTGCTATTGCTCCAGCCATATATATATATATATATATATATATATATATATATATACACAACAATAAGAATCAGAAACCAATGACTTTGGAAACATGTGTGGGTAGGAGGGTGTGGGTAGGATGGACAAGGAAGGCAGTGTTATTTCTATAACTATTTTGACACTTGAAAGCATGTTAATGTCCTACATGTTCAAGCTATAAACCAGTAAGAATATAATACAAAAAAGAAAAAAAAACAGAAACAAATGAACTGACTCTATTTGGGTTGGGCTCAAATACATTAAGAACAAGCCTGAAAGAAGCGGGGAAGAACAATCCCATGAAAATGACAAAGACAGGGCTAGGGAGAGTCCAATGGGTGGAGCACTGTTTGGTTTTCGTGCCTGAGGTTGGGTTTGATCCCGAGCTCTGCACAGGGCTGGGAATGGCCCCGAGTCCTGTGCCAGGTGTGATCCAAAAGCCAAACCCAAACCAAACAAACCCAAACATCACAGAGACAGCTCTTGCTCACGCCTCCAGCCCATTTCTGGAAGGGGAGCAGGAGCAGAAAAATGCCCTCGAGCAACTGAGCAAAAATGCCCTTCCACAACTCAGCTGGTAGCCCTAAAACAGGGGAACCCTCTAAAACAACCGTGGGTAGAGAATTACGTTACTCGGACTGAGAGAGGAAGGAAGCAGGCTGACAGCTTAAGAAAACAGGGGAGGGCTGGAGAGATAGCACCGCGGGTAAGGCGTTTGCCTTGCACGCGGCCGACCCGGATTCGATTCTCAGCATCCCATATGCTCCCCTGAGCACTGCCAGGAGTAATTTCTGGGTGCGTGAGCCAGGAGTAACCCCTGTGCATCGCCGGGTGTGACCCAAAAAGAAAAAAAGAAAAAGAAAACAGGGGCACCGCCTATACTTTCAGGGATGCTTTGTTCCTCGAGAAGTTGCTCTGTTGGCGTGGAGCACCCAAAACACGAGGAAGCGGGAAGCCGGGTCCCAGGCTTGCCCCTGCAACTGCCTTTCACCGTTGAAAAATAACCAACGGAGGAGAAAGAGAAAAGGAGGCTGGCGTGAAGGGGCGGTGTGGACACACCAGGGGAAACCCACAGAGTCTGGAAGTAGCTGTGCTGGTGGGACTCAGATTTGCATACTGTGTAAACATTAAAGAGAAAAGATAGAAGAGTTTCCACGGTGGTGGCTTAGGGAGGTGATTGGGCAGAGATGCTGGGGCCTTTCTGATGCCACAGGCCGCAGGCACTGAGGCTGAGAGGCAAGATGAGACACAGCTCTGCAGGCCCTGCCAGGGACCCCTGGGGACCCCCGGCACTCTGCACCACACCCTGTCATGTGCTCGCCGGAGAACAGTGCTCCAGTGACGCACACGGAGAGGGGATGGAACAAATCGTTGGGAAAAAATTGTGGCAGAAAGCAGATCAAACAAGTGCCAGCCCCTGGAAAGGGTCTCTGGAGGCGCCTGATTTATCAGGCTGGGGTTTCAAGTGGCAGATTTTGGTTTCCGATCACATGTGACGTTCTTGAGAAAGCGCGGATGAAAAGGCAGGCGAGGGATTTAAAGAAAGGAAGTGGGGAGGGGGGGCTGGAGCGATAGCACAGTGGGGAGGGTGTTTGTCTTGCACGAAGCCAATTTGGGTTTGATCCCCAGCATCCCATATGGTCCCCTGAGTACCCTCAGGGGTAATTCCTGAGTGCAGAGCCAGGAGGAACCCCTGTGTGTGATTGCCGGGTGTGACCCAAAAAGCCAAAAAAGAAAACAGATTAAAAAATAAAAAAATAAAGGGAGGAAGGTGTTGATGTTTCCTGGTGGGACTAATTTAGTCCCTTGGATTTTGGGACTAAATCCGAGCAGCATCCTGGGGCTACTCCCCGGACGCTCGGTGGGGTCTTGCAGACTAATGGTTCCTGCTCTGGTCAACAATGGGTGGGGTGGGGGTGGAGCGGGGATGAGAGGGGACTTCAGGTGCCACGGCAACGGGAACTATGAGAACCACGGAGTGCCAGGGACCAATTTCAGGGTCCACGTGCCACAGCAAGTCCTCCAGCCCTGAGGGCTTCATCCTGGGCCCCCTGCAGTTGGATTTACGATGCCCGAGTACCACCTGTCCCCTTGTCAGAGCCCCAAGAGGAACTGAACCCTGGACACTGAGCAGCGGACCCAGAGAGGTCAGTGCTTGGCACGGACCCCCCAGTCCTGCGAGCTCCCCTGGCTGGGGCGGACACCGCACAAGGCTGGTCCAGTCAGGGGGCGCAAGGCAGGCTTTCAGGAGCAGGTGCACTTCTGAGGGGAGGAGGCCAACAGGACTGCCCAGGGCACAGCCCTGAGCCCGGTCGAGCCCGGAGGCAGGAACCAGAGGGAGTCTGCCTGACCTCCACGGGCCCGGAGAGAGGGTGCAGTGGGGAGAACATTGCCCTGCACATGGCAGACCCAGGTTCCGTACTGGACACCACAGATGGGTCCGCGAGCACGGAGCCGGGAGGGGGCCCTGAGCACTCGGGGAGTGATCCAAAAGCAAACGGAGCCAACACACACGGAAATCTGGAACAGAGCCATAGTACAGCGGTGAGGCACCTTGCCTTGACCCGAGTTGGATTCCCAGCGCCCCAAAGGGTCCCCCAAGTCCCGGCAGGAGCGATCCCTGAGTGAGAACCAGGAGGAAGCCCTGGGCACAGCTAGGCGTGGCCCCAAAGCAAAACAAACCAAAAAGACACCAGAAACAAAGACCTGGAAGTGAGAGAGGCCAGAGGGCAGAGGGCAAGGAGGCCCCCGGGCCGCTCACCCCCACCCCCACCCCCAACACCACCCTCGCAGCCACACCCCTTCTCCTCCAGCTGTCGCCCCCAGGAGAGCAGAGGCTCCTCCTACAAGTGGCCAGGCCCCCTGGGCGTGCAGCTGCCTCATGCCTCTGAATGCCAGACACACCCAATGACTAAGGGTGTATGTCAGGCTTAACGCAAACCTCTTCCTGCTTCCAGGGCGGGCTGTGGTACACAGGGATCTGAGAAGCAAGGTGGAACCAGCTTTATAACGAACTGCCAAGTGCAAATGTGTCCACATTCCAGACAGCTGTAACTACCTTCAATGTAGTATCTGTGTTCCGGCTTTGGCTTCAGTTTGGAGAAGCCACATCCCACAGTGCGTGGGGCTGACTCCTGGCCTCTCACTTCCGGGCAGAGCCCCGGGGAGCCAGGTGGAGCCAGGGATCGAACCCGGGCCTCCCTGAGCAGAGTCCGTGCTCTCTCACAAACAGACGGTGGAACTTACAAAGCTACAGCCACTGCTTTTGGAGGTGGCTATGGATATGAAACTACGAGTTCATGCTGAAAGTTTCTCACACACACACACACACACACACACACACACACACACACACACCTCGAACTATCAATGTGCATCTCTTACCATTGCATAGCACCCATCCGTGGTCAAGATCAAAACGTCTATCGGGGAGGTGTGGTTGGCCACGCAAATGCCTCCCTTCTGGGGTCGGTACTGCCTGCAATTACAAACAATCGTCAATACCGAGGCCGGAAGAACAACACAGCAGGACCCACCTGTTTCATTTCTCTTAATTTTTTTTTCCCAGGCTGGAGCTCAACCCCAGGGCCTCAAACACATGAGGCAGAAGCTTGTCCCACCTGCACTGGGACATGGCCTCAAAATCAAAAGCAAAGTCAGAACATAGACATTGTGTCAAGGTAGTTAAAAAAAATAAATAAGTAAAATGATTCAATTTGAACTTGGCTGCTCATTATCTCTACCAGTCCCCTTAAAATGATAATTTTTGAAAAACAGATTTACAGAAAAGTAAGGTAGAAAGGATTAGAATTCCTTTCCATTTTCGGGAAACTCCCCCTCACTCCTTTCACCCTCGGAGGAAGCAGGAAGCAAGACGCCCGGGGACTCTGGGGATCAAGGGGCCCAGCGCAGGACCCAGGCTCGCGAGTGAGTCCTTCCATGCTACGACCCCTGCTCTGTTCGCCCCATTCCCAAACTGCGACAAGGCCCTTCAGACTCTGACTCACGAGCCTGACGTCACCTCACCTGCCAGCTGGGGTGACTGTGACTCCCTCAAGGGGCAGCCCGAGACCACGGGCAGTGATGAAGTGTCGCCTGTTTACTAGGACACCTCCACATGTCCATGTTGCTCTTCAGAGGCGTTTTTATTCGCCTGTCTCTGGGGCACCTGACGGGGCTCCTGGCTCTGTGCTCTGGAATCCCTCCTGAAGGGGCTCAAGGGGCTCCACGAGGCTGGGCATGAAGCCCGGACTGGCACCTTGCCTGCGGGCCCACCCCCTTGGCCCCAGGAGCAAACACGTTGCGTGTCTTTCATGGGCGAGACCGTCGGCGTGGGGCATGGGCACACCGCAGGGTTCTCCTGCCACACTCCCTCCCACCCACCCACCCCCTGCCCATCCAGAGGCAGGTGCCTGGGGCTGGCGCTCACTTGTTGTGGTAGTGGATGGTGCCCGAGAGGGCGCGCACGCAGATCCGGCAGCACGTCAGGTGCACCAGCTCACTCAGCCGGTCTTTGAGCCTGTGGGAGAGAGAAGACGGGTCAAGGCCCGGTCCTGGGCCGTCCCGGGAATGAAGCACCCAGGGGCTCCTTCCCAGCGGCTCACACTGCATCCCGGGCCTGGCTCTCGCCTCGGGAAAGGCACTGAGAGCAAAGCTCACGGCAGGGGGCCTCCAGACCATCAGACCGTGAGATGCTCGGGGACCAGCAGGGTCAACTCTGGACCAACAGAGCCCAGAGTCTCTTTGGTCCTGGCTGGACGGACCTGAGGGTACTGAGACTCTCTAGCTTTGCTCTAAGTGTTTCTCCCTTCCTTTCCCACTTTTCATCTCTCTCTCTCTCTCTCTCTCTCTCTCTCTCTCTCTCTGTTTTTTTTTTTAATTTGCTTTTTGGGTCACACCCGGCGATGCTCAGAGGTTAAGTTCTGGCTCTGTACTCAGGCATTATTATTCCTGGCGGTGCTGACAGGACAGTATGGGATGCCTGGGATCGAACCCAGGTCGGCCGCATGCAAGGCAAACACCCTCCCCGCTGTGCTATCGCTCAGGCCCCTCTTCATCCCTTTATTGCTCTTTGACAAAGTAAGTTCCTCTGACTTAGAGGGAAGTATGAGAGATACGTGAAGACGAAGTGAGCAGAATTTGGAAACTGTGCGTGGAGGCCATAAATGTGATACGTTACACAGGAATCAAATATTCTCTCTGGGAGCATCACTCAGAAAAGGGGTGACCCCAGGTAAGGGTGGGGGTGGGGAGGCATGATGTTACCTGCTGTCTGGCAGCTGCCCGACCAGCGTGGTTCCTATGACCAACAAACTGATCCCAATGGAAGCCAAGGTAACCCTGGAAAAAAAAAAGAATTTTTAGATAGTAAAGCAAAGGTTAATTGCACCAGAGGTGGGAAATAAGAGTCTAAAGGTTCAGGGATGGGGCCGCCAAGGAGAAATCTAGGGACAGGGGTGGAGGACGTGGGCACCGCGGTGGTGGGTACAGGAATAACATGTGCCTACAGCAGCAAAAGGCGAAAGATAAATGCGATCTGAAGAGAAACGGGCTGGAGCGATAGCACAGTGGGAAGGGCTTTTGCCTTGTATGCAGCCGACCCAGGTTCGATTCCTCCATCCCTCTCTGAGAGCCCGGTGAGCTACCGAGAGTATCTTGCCCACACGGCAAAGCCTGGCAAGCTCCCTTTGGCTTATTCAATATGCCAAAACCAGTAACAACAAGTCTCACAAGCACCCCACTTGGTTTTCTCCACTTTTTAATAATGGGGAAAATTAAAAAAATTTGTTTTTTTGTTTGGTTTTGATTTGGGGGCTACACCTGGCAGTGTTCAGGACTTATTCCTGCATTAAGGAATCACTCCTGGCAGACTCGGGGGACCATATGGAAATGCCAGGGATCAAACTCAGCTGGACCGCATGCAAAGCAAGAATTGACCAGCTGTATTATCGCTCCAGCACTGGAAAATCAGAGTTTTATCAAAGTAGTTTCAAAGTTCTAGCCAATAGCAAGAGGCTGCCGGTTGATGGTTTTTCACAGTAAGACCAGCAAGGTCTATCACCACGTGGGCATCCCATAATGCTGTTCACTCTGCCGTGTTCACAGAACACAGAACTCAGCAAACAAGATCCCAGCAACTCCAGTCACCACTCAGGAATGACGGCGTGCTTTCTCATTTTCAGAAAGTGCTCTTAAGGGGCTGGAGCAATAGCACAGCGGGTAGGGCATTTGCCTTGCACGCGGCCGACTTGGGTTCGAATCCCAGCATCCCATATGGTCCCCTGAGCACCGACAGGAGTGATTCCTGAGTGCAAAGCCAGGAGTAACCCCTGAGCATCGCCGGGCGTGACCCAAAAAGCAAAAAAAAGAAAAAGAAAAAAGAAAGTGCTCTTAATATATGTCGAAATCAACTCAAAAGGAGAGAGCTATTTTCATAAATAGAATTACTCAAAAAGAAAAAGTAAAGTTTTAAAAGTCTTTTAAAATAAAGGAAACTTCCTCATACACCTTGTCAGGGCATTACATCTTGTTGGGCTTGGTTTAACGTTTGGTCGGAAATTGGTGGCTTTTCATTGGTGACAACTTTCAATAACAGTTTTGACCACTTTAAAATTGTTCCTGGGGGCTGGAGCCACAGCACAGCGGGGAGGGCATTTGCCTTGCATTCAGCGGACCCAGGTTCGATTCCCAGCATCCCATATGGTCCCCCAAGCACTGCCAGGAGTAATTCCTGTGTGCAGAGCCAGGAGTAACCCCTGTGCATCGCCAGGTGTGACCCCCCCCCCAAAAAAAAAGAGATTGTTTCTGAAATAATTTGAAGGTCGTGTTCTGATTTCTTAAGATTTTTTTATTGGTCACCAATTCAATAACTAGATCATTATTTAGTCCTATACAACAACCACACAAAGGCCTTAAACTCATGTTGTGAGGGGATGTAGCTCAGTAGCAGAGGGAGCACAGGCCTTGCATGTGTGAGGCCCAGGGTTCAATTCCGGGCATGGCACACATTCATACATTCACACAGACGCACTGTAGCACTGTCCTTCCGTTGTTCATCTATTTGCTTGAGCAGGCCCAGTAATGTCTCCATTGTGAGACTTGTTACTGTGTTTGGCATATCAAATACGTCACAAGTAGCTTGCTGGGCTCTCCGAGAGGGGTGGGGGATCGAACCTGGCTCAGCCAGGCCAGCCACGCACAAGGCAAACACCCTACCCGCTGTGCTATCGCTCCAGCCCCACACAGACACAACTTTGAAAATAAATATTGTCTCACCGTGTTGCTCTAAAAAGAATCACTTGTTCCTATCCATTAAATCAGAGATGGTTGTACTTTAATATTCAACAATCAGACTCAAAACTATCAATAATTTTTATTTGCTAGAGTAACAGGCCAGGAAATTCTGTTTTCCAGTCAAGTGAGCCACTTCTCATGTGACACAAATTTTCACTGTCAATCCATCTTACTGAGAGACTTGACACATGCAATTCACCCATTTCAAGTGTACAATTCAATGGCTTGGGGAACATTCAGAGTCGCATAAGCACGACCATCAAGTGGGATACAATCTAAAGGCTCGCTTCGGGAGCCAGAAAGAGAACTCAACGGACTGAGCTCATATTCTACATGCTGGAGGCTCAGGTCTGATCCCTGGCACCGTATGGTCCCCTGAACACAGGAGTGACCCCTGGGCAGAGGCAGAAGTAGCCCCCAAGCACTGTCAGATGTGGTCCCCAACAACCATCACCCCAAAATAGCTATTAAGAATCATTTAACAAAGCAATTCTCTCATATTAAACTGTTTACTCTTGAGGGGGAGCCTGATCTGCCCTTCAGGACTCTTTTCTGTCATGTCTGTCATTCCTCAAGCTACAACTACATACGAGAGGGACCGGAGCGATAGCACAGCGGGTAGAGCATTTGCCTTGCACACAGCCAACCGGCTTCTACCTCCACATCCCACATGGTCCCCCGAGCACCTCTAGGAGTAATTCCTTCCTGAGTGCAGAGCCAGGAGTGACCCCCAAAACAAAACCAAAACTAGACAAGAGAATCATGAAACCATCCAGCGGGCCCCCCAGCCTGGTGAAAGCTCACCCCCCCGGGAGAGCAGCTCAGGTACGTGGGCTGAGGAGTCCTCGTTCCTTCCTCAGGGGCCAAATGACAACTTTTTTGAAAAGTTTATATTTGTATATAATAGATAGGATGCACGTGAAGTGAAATATACATACTTAATCCTTATGAATGATAAAAGAGTAAGTGGAAGCTCTGAATAAATAAGATTCTAATCATCGAGACCTCAAATTCTGCCTTCCTGGATACCATGGATGACCGCGTGCGTGGACCCCACTCTGGGATCTCCAAACGAAGAGCCGACAGAGGCGTCTTTGACAGCCTGAACTTCGCATGGCGGTCACGGCTAAAACCATCATCCAAAGAGATGGGTCAGAGAAATAGTGTGGCAGGTAGGGCGTTGGCCTTGCACACTGCCGACCCAGGTTCCATCCCCAGCAACCCCTACAGCATCCCCCCAAGCTCCGCCAAGACTGATCCCTGAGCCCAGAGCCAGAAGTAAGTCCTAGGCACTGCCAGGCATGGCCAGAAATTAAAACGAGAGAGAGAGAGAGAGAGAGAGAGAGAGAGAGAGAGAGAGAGTCAGAGAGAGGAAGTCTGGGTCACTATTTCCCAAAGTGGAGGCCATTACCATCCTGGGGTGCACTGGAATAGCCCAGGAGGTGTGGGGGGGGGGGGGGGAGTAGTCGTAGCCTTGGGTGCAGTTGCTGGGCGGGAAGGCACATTCTCCCTATAATTATTCTCTTTCAAAGCGTAGATTTCCAGGGAGCTCCTGAGTAATTCTTTTTCTGAAAGGAGGGCAGGAGGCCAAAGGAGCCTGGAAGCCTCTCGTCTAGACTCCGGGAACACGAGCAGGAGCAAAGAGAAGAGCTTCTTAGAAATGTGTGCTTGCCCATCTTTAAGCAATCTTGTCCTTTGCAATAAATCTACAAGCGGCCAGCAGGGCCACCCTGGGGACCCGCAACGCGGCTTCAGCGCCTGCGCCAATTCCCATTGGCTGGTAGCAACTGCCTGAAGAGCGACACTGAGAGCACGCCAAGGCTGCGACCAGGGCAGTGAGGCCAGTGGCAGCTGTGATCTGGGCCCAGGCCCCCTCGTGCCACCACCATGCTGGCCAGACTGTGACTGCTGGCAGCTCCTCCCACGGGCTGTCACCTCTCCCACACCATGGCTGCTGGGAACGGGACTCACGTCAGCAGAAAGGTGCGATTTTAAAAATCATCCAGAATCAATGCGACTTCCTCAGACACCTTGTTATGTTGCTAAAACGCATTGCACTTGGTTTAATGCTTGTTGAAACTTGATGAACTTTCATGGGCAACAACTTTCTACCACATTTTTTTTTTTTTTTGCTTTTTGGGTCACACCTGGATTACTCCAGGCTCATGCACTCAGGAATTACTCCTAGCAGTCCTTGGGGGACCATATGGGATGCTAGAAATCAAACCCGGGTCGGCCAAGTGCAAGGCAAACACCTTACCCTCTGTGCTAACTCTCCATCCCCAGGTATTTATGTTTTGAAGACTTTTGTCTAATGACAAGAATTTCTTGGTGCCCAAACAAATATTTCTCCTATTGTTATTTGGTTTGAGTACCTGTGTATTCAATATCTAGTTTAGTAGGCGGAATTTTCCAGAAACTTCTGTGTATTCTTGCCTGATTCCTTTACCTCCTACCCACTAAAGCAGCTGCGCTGATTTTACTGTTTATTTTATGTCTATATTGATAACAAGGTTGTTTTTGAAATGATTTGAAGGTCTTGTTCGGTTTCATTAAGGTGCCAAGTCAGTCACTGAGTCAGCAAGTAGGTCATGGTTCAATCCTCTACACCAGTTCTGCGAAGGCTTTACACTCTTATCTTGATAACCTCTCAGTCTCTGTATTGCAAACCATAATGCCCAAAAGTAGAGAGAGAGTATGGGGGATAATTGTCTGCCATAGAGGCAGAGGGAGGGTTGGAAAGGAGGAGGGGTATACTGGGGACAGTGGTGGTGGGGAATGTGCACTGGTGGAGGGATGGGTGTTTGATCATGGTATGACTAAAACACAGACATGAAAGCTTTGTAACTGTATCTCACGGTGATTCAATAAAAATAAACAAAAACTAAAAAAATAATAAACTCTTATTTTGAGGGGATGCAGTTCAGTGGAACAATAGAGGTCTTGCATGCATAGTGCCCCAGGTTCAATCCCTAGCTTTGCAAACACCTGTGCGCGAGCACATGCACACACACACACACACACACACACACACACACACACACACGTTTAAAATTGAAAAATGATGTCTGGCCGTGTCCCCCTAAAGAGAAGCGTGTTTCCTCATCAGGTGGCACCACACTTAGACCCAGAAACCAAGCCCACGGCGGGGGAAGTTTGGTAAGAAGAGTGATTGATCCTAACGGAAATGGGCAGAACAAGGTCACTCTTCCCAGCAGTCCTTTCCAACCTCAACGTCTACTCTCAGGAAACGTTTTCCCGCCTGGTGTCACCACCGTGAGCAAAGCTGGTTTGGTGGGCAGGGAGCCCGGCGGGGGGTGGGGGAGGGGTCTGTAAGTCCTCTCTCTCCTTCTTCTGTTTTATTCCCTTTTTCTATGCTTCTCCAGGCATCAACAACAACGGGGAGGGCCAGAGGAGATGGAAGTGGGTCCTGTGCGCTGGGAACGCACTTTCCCTGGAGACGAAAGGCAAAGGGGGTCCCACTTCCAGGGGCTCACAACAGCGGTGCCCCTCGGGAGCGGGTAGGAACGCTCACCCGGGATTAAACCCCGCGCCCAGCACCCTACCTGAGCGGGAGGAGGATGCAGTAGCGCACCACGACGCCCAGCACCCACACCAGCGTGAGCCGCAGGCTGATGTACTGGAAGTTGATGTTGGTCCTCGTGAGGAGGTTCCAGGACACGAGCTCCTCTGAGGAGAAGCGCTGGGTCACCTCGTCTTCCACGATGGCTTCCAGCCCCTTCTTGGAGAAAAAGAAGACGTCGGACAGCTCAAAGTCCCTTCCGCTCAGTCCCTTCTCCATGGGCGACTCATCTCGTTGGATGATACCTTGGGAGAAGGGAACAAGCATCGAGACATGAGAAAGGCCTCGGGTCACAACAACGGACGGGTATGACTCTGTACAGAAGACAGCAAGTAAGTAGAGGAAGCGGTTCAATGTCACGTGGGCCCGGGCTGCCCTTTCCACCGGGCACCTTTCAGGAACAGAAGCCACTGTGGCAGGCAGGGGGTGACGTCACTAGGCGGCACCATGCAGACGAGGAACCTGGGCCCTCACGAACTCTCCTGTGTCCAACCCCCTCCACACCCCCAGCGACACGACATACGGAAGGACACACTCCCCAAGAACAGATTGAGAGAATAAATAGCAATACTCCTACTGCACTGGAGCACTGTCCTCCCGTTGTTCATCGATTTGCTCGAGCAGCCACCAGTAACGTCTCACAACAAATTGTGAGACTTGTTGTTACTGTGTTTGGCATAGCGAATACATCACGGGGAGCTTGCCAGGCTCTGCCGTGCGGGCGTGATACTCTCGGTAGCTTGCCGGGCTCTCTGAGAGGGGCGAAGGAATCGAACCCAGGTCAGCCACATGCAAGGCAAATGCCCTACCAAGTGTGCTATCACTCCTACATAAAAAAAAAAAAAGAACAGGTTGAGAGTGTGTAAAAGCCGACTTGTTCCCCCCTTATCCAAAGCAGAGGGGAAAGTGAGGGAGGTGAATTAGTATATTCTAATAACTTGAAAAGGGGAAACACAGGGCTGGAGAGGTAGCACAGCATGTAAGGTGCTTGCCTTTCTTGCTCAAGGCCCATTCAGGTTCGATCCTGGGCACTGCATGGGATCCTCTGTGACTGCCAGGAGTGATACCTGAGCACAGAGCCAGGGTAAGTCATGAGCACTCCCTGGTATGCCCCCAAAGGAAAAAAAAAAAACTAAAACTAAAATTCTAGGGAAAAAAAGTGATTACTGACACGGCTTTAAAAAACGAAAAGAAAAATTCATGAACAGAATTCATAGAAGAAACCTAGTAAATGACAAATTTACAATAAAGAAATGGAAAAAGGATAAAACTGTCCTCTTTGGACCGGAGCGATAGTACAGTGGGTAGGGAGTGTGGCTTGCCGGGTTCAACCCCCAGCATCCCATATGGTCCCCCGAGCCAGACGAGGGGTGATTCCTGAGCACAGAGCCAGGAGAAATCCCTGAGCATTATCAGGTGTGACCAAAAAAACTGAAAAATAAATAAATAAATAAATAAATATAGTTAAAGAGCCTCAAATTGGGCCAGAGCTTAATACAGTGGGAAGGGTATTTGCCTTGCACACAGCCAACCTGGGTTCGATTCCCGGCATCCCAGAGGGTCCCCCAAGCACCACCTGGAGTGATTCCTGAGTGCAGAGCCAGGAGTAATCCCTGAGCATTGCTGGGTGTGACACCCCACCCCCGCAAAAAAAGAGCCTCAAATCATCATTTTTTTTTTTTGCCTGCGACTATATGGTCGTGAGTTCGAATCACAGAGAGCACCGGCGCCAAGCACAACGCTGAGAACTCTGCTGTTTGGACTCATCTGTGCATGATCCCCAACACCACAGGGGTGGATGAGCATCAGACACAGGGTGCCACCCCCACGGCGCATAAGCTTTAAAAGATGTGTGATGTGAGCGCCACAGCCAGGAAATTGCGCGTATCTACCCCAAAACACCAGCTGGGTGAACAGCACAACCAGGACCGGGACCCTCAAGGGAGAGTGTGAGCCGTGGGGGCCCAAGCGCCAACCCCACAACTCGGGGGGTAGGGGACAGCCTCAATGAGCACCATGGACAGGGCGGGCACGAGTCTCACCGCTGCAGAACATTCCCAGCAGCTGTGAAGGGAAGGGAGCCAAAGAGAGAACGGGAGGAAGGAAAAGAAATGACCCAGATGCTCCGGTCCTCGGTGTGGGCGTGAGTGTGGCAGCAACTTTCTCCCAGATCGGTTTGCACAGACTGAAAGCGTCTCTGATGCGTCAACAGCTCCCACGCTGCGAATTCACCGAAGGAAAATAATCACCAAGGAAGGCAATGGTATTTGTGCCTGATTTTCCGCGATAACTGATTCAGATGACTGAGATATCATATACCATTAGGAGATGTTTGGGGGAGGAAATGGGATCAAGAGGGCTGGAGCGATAGTACAGCGGGTAGGGTGTTTGTTTGCCTTGCATGTGGCCGACCCGGGTTCTATTCCCAGCATCCCATATGGTCCCCTGAGCACCGCCAGGAGTAATTCCTGAGTGCAGAGCCAGGAGGAACCCCTGAGCACTGCCGGGTGTGACCCAAAAGGGAAAAAAAAAAATCAGTCGATACTAATAGCTTGATCTACCTACAAAATGCATCTATCTACACAGAGGGAAATGTTAGGGGGAATACGAGTGGTTATCTCTGGGCTATGTGATTATTTTCTTCTTTAAACTGTCACCATATTTTCCACAGGAGAAAAAACTTCAAGGTGTTTTAAGATGCACAATTATTTGTAAATTTTTAAAGGAACAACTGCCACCCAATTGCCCTAAATAAGAGTAATAGATAAGACGATCTCCAAAGGATGAAGAGTAGCCAGAATGTGACTCCCCAGTGGTCTTTTGGGGTGTCCGAAAAATCTTCCCCTGTTGGAACCAGCTTACTTCTTCATGAAAAAATTGAGATGCTGAGCTCACAGGACTGCGGCTTGTGTTTTGTGTGTGGGAGATGCCTGACATGGTCTCTGAGCTGTTGAGTGGCCCCTGAGCACCACGGGGGATGCACCGGCTCCGCCCACACCCCCCAAAAAATATTAAGGGGTTGGAGCAATAGCACAGTTGGTAGGGTGTTTTATCTTGCACTCAACCAACCGGGGTTCAATCCCCAGCATCCCATATGGTTCCCAGAGCACCGCCAGGAGTAATTCCTGAGTGCAGAGCCAGGAGGAACCCCTGAGCATTGCCCAGTGTGATCCCTCCCCCCAAAAATATTAAAAGTTAAAAGAACTTTGATTTCTCTCCTAGCCAGCTTGCTAGGAAATCAGTAAGTGGAGAATGGTGTGTCCTGTGAAGAAATTGCATGTGTCCCCATGGAAGGAGCAATGCTTTATGGGGGCGGGAAGGAGTGGCAGGAGAACGTACTGAGTAGGAAAAAGGGATCTGAGAGCAACGGAGCGACTGTGAGTAACAGCCAAGTCACTGGACTCGGTGTCTTCCTTGATTAAGATGGGCGGGACAGGGGGACGTGGGGGAGCACCACACCCAGCAGTGCTCAGGGGCTATTTCTAGCTCTGTGATCGGAAGTGATGCCTGCCAGAGTTCGGGAGACCATCCGTGGTGTCGGGGATCTTAGCCAGGGCCAATGCTGCCAAGACAGTCACACGCGGTGGAACCGCCTTCCCTCCCTCGGTCTCTCCAGCCCCGAGAACTATTTAGTTCCCTTGAGAACCTAAAGTTTTGTAAATTTAGTTTTGATGATTTTTGTTCGTCCCTACATGCAGACTTGATACCAAACACACTCTCCTCTAAGGAAAGTTTTTTTGAGCATTTTTAACGGTTTATTCATAACAAACAATACAAAATAAATTATTTTCATTCTGCTTTGGTACAGGGGTTGAGGTTCGGGATGGAAACATCCAAAAATATGTGGTGGGGAGGTGTAATGGGGGGCGGGATTGGTGTTCAAATATTAAATGTAATCAAATATTGTGTACTACTTTATAAAAATAAAATTGAATAAAAAAAAAAAAGAATCCGTGAAAACCACCAGAGAGATAGTGGCAGGGATGTGCCTTGCATGTGGCCAGCCTAGGTTCTATCCCCAACACTTCCATGAGTGATTCCTGAGTGCAGCAAGGAGTGATTCCTAAGCATCACCAGGTATGGACACCTCTCCAGCACCCCCAGAAGGAAAACCCTAAGAAAGGGAATTCTGCCCGAGGGATTAGTTTTATCCCTGGCACCCAATGTCATCTCCTAAACACCACCAGGAGTGGATACCCTGAGCACAGAGCCCAGGAGTGAGCCCTGAGCACTTCCGGTGTGTTACAAAACCCCCTCCAGCTCTTGGTTGAGTCAACGCAGAGCAGCTGACTTAACCCAAGGCACTGCCATGATTCAGCACTGCAAGAGCTTCGTTATTTAGCCCAAATAGAGATGTGTCTTTTGCGTCTAGATTGGGAAGGAAAAACAAGATTAGGCAAATCTCTGAATGAAATGCACTGGAGACAAGTGTCCAAAAATAACCTTGCTCAGGGAAAGCAGAGATCAGGGAGCAAGTTCAAGTTGCCTCACGGTATGGAACCGAGCCAGGAGAGACTGAAGTGTCACCAGAGCAAGGCCCCCAGCCTCTCACACACTTGGCAGACAACATGTTCACTTCTCCCCGGCCAACTTGACTCTGAGCAAGTCACATAAAACTGAGGCCAGATTTATATCTTCATTAATTTATGTGGGTAACTGCAATACTGCTAAGTAACAAGGAGTTAATTTCCCCAACAGAGCACAGAAAAAAATTACATGAAAATGTCAGGGGTTTGGGAGCACAGAGGTGAAGGCGTTTGCCTGGCATGTGGCAGACCAAGATTTGATCCCCAGCCTTGCATATGGCCCCCTGAGACCCAGTGGGAGTGATCCCTGAGCACAGAGACGAGAGCATTGCCAGGTGTGGTCCCCTTCCAGAAAAAAAAAAAAGGAAAAAAAAAAACCTTCTCCTTTTGTTTTGGGGTCACACCTTTTGATGCTCAGGAATTACTCCTGATGGTGCTTAGGGGCTGGTAGCACAGCGGTAGGGCGTTTGCCTTGCACGCAGCCAGCCTGGCCGAGCTGGGTTCGATTCCTCTGCCCCTCTCGGAGAGTCTGGCAAGTTACTGAGAGTATTCAATATGCCAAACACAGTAACAAGAAGTCTCACAATGGAGACGTTACTGGGCCCGCTCGAGCAAATCGATGAACAACGGGAGGACACTGTTTGTTTGACAGTGTTTGTTTGGTGCTTAGGGGACAATATGGGATGGTGGGGATCAAACCCAGGTCGGCTGCATGCAAG